CTTATTTTCAAACTGGCAACAACACAATATGCCCTCAAACTTATAAATAAAAGTTTAAAAGGACCTGGATTTCACTTAAGCACTGAGTTTTTTGCTGTGAGCTGTGAGCTCATATAATTATGCATGTAGCACTAATGTTAATGTGAAACACCTGGAAGAGTCTTTTAATCAAGGATACAAACCAGTCAAAGTACAAGAAGAAATTAACTATTTATCCGAGCAGAGGAGTCTTTCAGAGCTTTTAAAGTAGTTTGTAAAACCTGACGTAGCTCAAAGTGTCCTCCCTGACATGGATTATCTGCTTACACTACCTCTAAGTAACTTTGCTAGTTCAGAAGTGATTCTGAATCTCCTAAAAAATCCACATTGACTCAGCCAAGCGGGCTCTGTGAGGGAGTGTCCTTAAATATGTCTGGAACATCTGCCTTAACTTTTACAATTGAAGAAACAGTCATGTAATTTTTTTCCCCTCCCTTTATCTGCGTCACTTTTTTTCCCACCTGCCTAGGTCATGGTTCATCTTTCGTTGCCTGTTGGCCTGAAGTCCACACTTGGAGTTAAATAAATCATATGAACATAGATTATTGATTAAAAGTAGCCATTAACCAGATGAAGTTTCAGATCACTCAGAGCACGGCGGATTGATTTGGAGGCTACAGGCAAACTAAAGTTACCACACAGTATAGATACTGTCAAAGAAAAAGTCCTGTATTCAGTTTTTTTTTTAATTAAAATTGAACAGTGTAGGAGGGGTATTATCAGAACACTTGCATATCAGTTTCGTCAGATGCCCACCTGTATTACCCTTTGGAAATATTCGTAAAATATATTAAATTCACAGGATCCATATACAACTACAGTAGATAAGTAGCAGTAGTCAACTACAGTAGACAACTAGCAGGCTAAGCTAAGAAGCTAGTACAATCAGCTTGTTTTGTGCAGATCTTTAAAACTAAGTAATCTTAAAACAATCCTCATCGCTATCGCAATCTTCATCGGAAGATGAATTAATTTCAACACCACTGTCGGGAAATGGTTGAGCTTGTTGCAGAGGTTCTTCGGTGGAAAAAGGAGTGTGCGATTGTGAAAATGGCAAATACAAACTGCCTAATTTCTCAATGAGAGTGTGCCATTGTGAAAACAAACACAAACTCTGATCTCTATGGAGCATGAAATATGATGATCGTAAATAAATCCATAGAAAAATAAAATTGATTTAAATTTTCATTCCAAAGATTTATAGAACAATAAATTTTATATTCCAAGGATAGAATTTTTTTTTTTTAATTCCAAAGATTTTTTTTATCTTTTTTTTTTAATTCCAAACTATTTTTTTATTATTAATTCATCTCTATGTAAATTGTTGAGTTGGGCAGCCCTGACTCTCGCTTTTTTTTTTTTTAAGCGCTTATGGCTAGGGGGGCTTTGCTGATCTTCAGTCCATTACCTTGGCTTTGCTTAAATGAGAAGTAATGGTAGCTGACATTCATGTTGGTAATGCTCAATAAACTGAAGTTCAATAAACCTCATCAATCCTCATCCATCCTTATTTAAACCACTTATTCTGGTGGGGGGGGGGGGGGCGGTTAAGGTTTGTTACTGTATATTAGAGTGGTTCTTAAAAATGAAAAATTGAAAATACTGGCTCTCACCCCCTAATTTTGTTATGCTATATACATATATTTCAGGAATTTTTTCATTTTTTCAAGCATGTGTAGAGAGACCCCTGTCCGTGAAGTCCACTCTGCTTGTCTGTAGGTCCCTAAATCTTTGGGCAATAAAAGTTGGAGTGCTGGCCTCCCTGGTTATCTGTGTGTGCGTGTTTATGTGTGTAACCCCCCTTTGGTGCCTCTCGTACCAGGCTCGGCCTTGTCTTTAGGCCCTGTGATATGTGCATGTGTGATCCTACAGGGTAGTGTTAAGAATACCATTTGAATCATGCTACAGTAAAAATTCATCAAAATAAGTCTGCTTACACTCTGTTATACCTACTATAAGATGGCAATGGCAGATTTTTGGGACGTTTTGAAATGAAAGAGCAGGGGCCTGTAAAAATAGTTGAAAAAAAGAAGCATTTAAGGTGGACCGGAAAAATCCGAATAAGTAGCTGCGAATAAGTAGCCAACTTCAGCCTCGTAAACTCAACAGTATGTAAGGCTGAACTTTGAATAAGATCAAGACACTCAGTCCAGCAAAACTAACAATAATGTAGTGAAACGAGGGATTTACAGTCTGGCAGTTGTATCTAACATTTAAAAGCACCACTTCTAATGGCTTACGTTTGAACTGCGTCTCTCCACATTGACGCCAATGAGGCGAAGACAGGTCTTCAGCTGGACTGGAGCGCATGCGTACTTCCTATCTCGTAATTATGACTTTGTATCTCGTAATTATGACTTTGTATCTCGTAATTATGACTTTGTATCTCGTAATTATGACTTTGTATCTCGTAATTTCGACTTTCTATCTCGTAATTTCGACTTTCTATCTCGTAATTATGACTTTGTATCTCGTAATTTCGACTTTATATCTCGTAATTATGACTTTGTATCTCATAATTTTGATTTTTTTATCTCGTAATTATGACTTTCTATCTCGTAATTATGACTTTGCATCTCATAATTTTGAGTTTTTATCTCGTAATTATGACTTTCTATCTCGTTATTTCGACTTTCTATTTAATTTTTTTTTCTCTTACTGGCGGAAATGGGCTTCCATATTTAAGCTTTGACTTTGGGGGGAAAAAAAATTTGAACCTAGCATGAAAAAGCTTTCCAACAAGCTGTACCTGAGCCATATATCTGAAATAGTAAAAAAGTTATTGTTCATAACAAATTATCTTTTTTCCCTACTTGGGGTGTAGAAAAGGCAGCATAGCTCTAAAGGAAATTGGAAGAAAAAAAAAATTCTGTGTTTTGGAAGTTATGCATAATTCATTTGCTAAATTTAATAAAAAATCAAAATAGTGATGCAAAAACTTTGTTGGAAATTTGTTGAATTAAAATGGAATGACCCATTAAGAAAGATGGATAGATATGAACATCAGGGTTAAAATGGTAATGTATTGTTGGTTGCTGTCAAAATTGCTTTCACATTTTGTTTTTGAATTAAGTTCTATGTTGCAATTTGAGTAATTCTTGGATCTAGAGCAGTCTAGAGTGCTGAAATTAACGTTATGCATATATGATGTTTTATAGCAGGTTTTCTTTCAAGAATAATTTGTTTCATTTAACCTATTTTAATGTCTTGTGCACATCAGTATTTAACAACTAGTAGTGTTTATAAGTTTTGTACAAAAGTTTTAAATAAACCTCATCATTCCTCATCCATGCTTATTTAAACCACTTATTCTGGTGGGGGGTTAAGGTTTGTTACTGTATTTTAGGGTGGTCCTTAAAAATGAAAAATTGAAAATGCTGGTTCTCACCCCATAATTTTGTTATGTTATATAAGAAAACGTCAGTAATTTTTAGGAATATTTAGAGCAGGGTTCTTCAAATCTGGACTTCGATTCCAAATCCTGGCCTTGTTTTCAGTTCTCCCAAGTAGTCACGAAAGTCACATATGGGTCAAATGCAGAGGTCACATTTCGTTGTTGCGCACTGTGTGCTGTGGTGTGTTGACAATGACCACTGATCACTAAATTCTAATTCTAATTCTAATTCTAATTCTAATTATTTTAATAATTACTGATTCTGATTGGTCAGAGGCTTCACACCTGACTGACAGGTAAAGGAAGGCTGGAAAACCAGCAGTGCTCAGACCTTGAGGACCGTGATTTGAATAACCCTGGTTTAGAGGTTCTGGTCAAAAAGATAAACCCTAGTGTAGTCATCTACTATTAGTAATACTTGTTAGTATCTCAGGTCATTCATTTGATTATTTTTCTGTACTTATTTTATTTTCCTGATTACTGTAACTGTATTTCTTAACATTTGGTTAATTTAAATTTAAAAAATGGCTATCAAAAATACCATCATTAAAAAAAAATCTGGCAGCAACCATGCAATAAGAACTTTTTAAAACAACACCTTTTGTTGTTCTTAACTTTTGTCCAAAATTTAAGCTTTATATATTTTCAGATATTTAGACTGTTTCATTTGGTCAAATTTTATGATTCTTGATTTTTAAAAATTGACTGTAAGAAATATGGTAGTGAGCATCCTTGAGGCTAAACTGCAAAACACATGTTTGCTAACAATCAAATGAATGGCCCAAGAGATGAACAAGTATTACTCATGGTGGATGACAAAACTAGGCTTTAGGCAGCTGGAATATTCGACCGTCATGTCAATTGATTACAAACTCCACTTATTTTGTTTTGCTTTTACTTATTTGTAAAAATTGAATTTTTGCAAGTAAACTGTTGCTGTAGCCATCTTGTTTTCAGTAAAGTTTGACTGAAGTTTTGTATATTTTGATAGTTTACAGTTAGACTTTGATATTGTTGGCAACCTGTAAACATCAATAAAACTACAAAAAAATTGCCAGGAATACTTTCCTATAATGCATCACAAGATAAAAGGGTAATTGCATGGAAAACTGCCATTTTAAAATTTGACCTCAGCTAAGGACCACCCTATACTGTGCGCATATATACAACAAGGCTTCACCTAATTAAATTACTTTAAAGCTAAACATCATTAATTATAATTAAATATATTAGTTTGAGAGAGATCTGTTTTATTGCTTATGTAGATATGTGTAGGGTGATTCCATGAGAAGAATGAGTCAGAGTTCGTAATATGGAAATATAATTTGTCGTCATTTCAGTGCTCCATTTTTACTAACAATTTCCTTAGAATTGCTCTTAAATGGATTTAGAACATGATAAAATTTGACATTCAGTGGACTGCACACAAATATAATTTTAGTAAATCCTATAGAAAAAATGTAGGGCGTAACGCTAGAAAACACTAACATTACATTGTTGATAGGCTATTTCTCTGACTGTCTGGCTGTTCTTTCCAGAGAACAGGTTTGATTAGGGCTGGGCGATTTGTGTAACAGTAGAAAACACTATTAGTATGTTTTGTTGCTAGGTTTTTTCTCTGACTGCCTCGCTGTTCATTCCAGAGAATGGGTTTGACTAGGGCTGGACAATTTGCCCTAAAATGTTATCACAATATTTTCACAATATTGATATTTATCACAATATTTTTAAATTCATTTGTATAAAACAGTAAAATATGACGGGTGCTTTTGAGTTTTCCTGATTATAATAGTTCTGGAACATGTAACAAGCATTATGGTGAATTACATCAACAACAGACTCGTACCTTAATGGGATTTGTGTGAAGATTATGCAAAGAAAACAAGTGTTTACGCTATACCATGTTACTCATGATAATCAGATTCAAGGCAATATGAATGTTCATAATTTTGATACAATGTTGCCTTATATTAAGTGTTCTTTTAATAAATATTTCAGTTTTAAAAAGAAGGTATTGCAAAATAAACTTTAACAGAAATATCCAGTATGTCGGTTGTTCTCTGTTTGTATGTTGAAGGGTCTCTGCATCATCATGGCCAGCTTTAAGGTGCGGAAGTATAGGGATGAAGACGAGGAGCCGGTGAAGGAGATCTTTGCACTGGGGATGAGTGAGCATGTGCCCACCTCCTTCATGCACATGCTGAAACAGCCCCTTACCCAGATGGTGCTCATGTGCATCTTCTGCGCTTTGCTGACCAGCTCCAAGTCATTTCTCCTGCCCGTGTTGGCTGTGACTCTGCTTCTGGCTGGAGCTCGGCAGCTGGTCAGCTACCTCTTCACCAGCTACATCGACACCAGCCTGAAAGATGATCTCAAATGCATCCGGGAGACCTATATGGAGAAGAAGGACTCATGCTTTTGGGTGGCGGAGAGCGAGGGCCGGGTGGTGGGCATGGTGGCCTGCTTAACCTCCCAGACTGAGGAGTGCTTGGAGCTGAAACGCATGTCAGTGCGACGGAGCCACCGCGGCCTGGGAATTGCTAAGGAACTTTGCAAAGTGGTGGCGGACTTCACTCGTGAGAGCGGCTATAAGGCTGTCATACTCTACACTTCTGTGGTCCAGACAGATGCCCAGAGGTTGTATGAACATGTGGGCTACAAGAAAACTGGGGACTTTGTATTCCAAAGTCTACTTGCCAAGGTCTTCAATTTTTACATTTATGAGTACAGATTAGAGGTACAAGAGGTTACAGGTGGCTAAGCTGTAGTTTTTTTCAAGCCATCTTACAGATTAAAATTAAAATTTGTGGCTTGGTGTCTGTTGACTTCAGCATGCCTCTGCATTCATTTATGCTGTTTTCCCTTTTCATTCTGATTAGTGTCTCTTGCATTCAGGTCATTTCACCAGTTGTATTTGTGCTCAGTACTTAACTGGAAACCTGCTAGATCACGTTATTTGCACAATGCATATCAGATGTTCTTCAGAGCATCGTGGGACATAACTGAGAGCCTTTGTTGGATTTACTAACACCGTGAAGAAACAGCATCTGTTTTCAGATGCATGTGAATACAGCTTCTGCTGGGACATTGTTTGAATGGTTAAAATTTTAACTTCCCTGTCATTTTGAATAAAGTACTGCAAATTGATGGCAATGGGGCTGTTTGTCTTTATTTCTTACTGTTAATCTTATGTTTTATTTTCATGCATTTCCTATTGTATTTTGGTAAAGTTGAATTGTGGATGTGACAACTCTACCCTTTACTAGTGCAGTTACAGTATTACAACCTTAGCAGGAAGCAGAGACTCAGTTATGACAGATTTTTTCTATTAAATATAAATAAGTTCTAAAGTTACAGAAGATAAATTATTGGTGCTAAGATTATTATTACAGTTTGTGTGATAAGTGCCATTGCATTTCTCAGGGAAGGATTTATTCTAAAGCTATACATAGAAGTTGGGCAGTATAACTACGCTCTAATGCAGGGGTGGGCTATCTTATCTAGATAGGGCCACTGTGTGTGTGGGTTTTCACTTCAACTCCCTAATTAGATTACTAATTACAGGACTGATTGGCGGATGTGTCCTCACACCTGGGTCTGAACAGTTGACCTAAAGGTTATCGCAAAAATCTGCATACACACTTGCCATTTGTGGATAGGATTGCCCACCATTGATCTAATGGATAAGTGGTTTGAAGATGGATGGATGAAGAAAAATTCTATTCTGTCTTTACAAATAATTTTTCTTTCATAATCACCAGTGAAACTCATTTCTACATATTACCAAAGCATATCAAGAGAAATTGTATGCATATTAGTCAGCTTATAACTGCAGACTAAAACAATTTTTCTCTGTTTCTAGGTTCCTGTGAAAGAATAAATGGCCCAATACAAAATCCGCATATATCGGGATGAGGACTTTGAGACAGTGAGGGAAGTTTATGCCACTGGGTTTGCAGAGCATCTCCATGCCGTGTACCTTCAGGTTCTTAAACAGCTCTGGGTTCAGCTTACCTTGGCAAGCATCTTCATTGCCTTGCTTGCCTCCTCTGGGTCACTCCTGTTATCCATCCTGGGTGTAACTCTTGTACTCCTGGCTTCCCGAGAAGGGGTACGATTCTTGTTTGGCCAAGGAATCCAACTGGGTCTCAATGAAGACCTCCAGGACATCAGGAAGTCGTACATGCAAGGAGACAGGTCCTGCTTTTGGGTGGCGGAACTGCAGGGGGTCATTGGAGGCACAGTGGGCATACTCTCAGCTAAAGATGAGCCTGGATGCTGGGAGCTAAAGCGAATCTCTGTGAGGAAAGAATTCAGAGGACAGGGAATGGCCAAAGCACTGTGTAAGACAGCTCTTGATTTTGTGATTAACCAAGGGGTTGAAGATGTGGTGCTGTATACCTCCATGGTCCAAACAGATGCTCACCAACTCTACAGGAGTGTTGGCTTCCGGATGGTGGAGACCTTTGTCTGGCCATCACTCCCAGCCAAACTTATCAACTTCATGGTGTTGAAATACAGGTATAGAGTGCTGGCTTAGAGAAGATTCAGAAGATGCAGTTTATTGAGGACCATCACAGACATAATCAAGATATGTAACAGTATTATAATCTCAAGACCTTTAAAAATATATACGTACTGTCCATAAAATTTTAAGCAGCATTTCATGGGAATTTCTCCCACTTGATTCTTGTATTTTCCGTTTACCCAATGGTGTTTTTTTCCTTTTGACAATCTTAACCTTTTTAATTCTTATCACAATTTTTACTATTATATGTTACTCACTGATCTCTTGATTCAGCTGTTAAGAATGCTTGCACTTGCATCAGTTCAAAAACATGCTCTTTATATACATTAAAGTGTTAGGTTACCTTGTAAATGCAACGAATTTGTGATATGCTTTGCATTGTAAAAAGATGCAAGCATAAAAGGTTTTTTTCCACTGCAAAATTCTTACCTATGGAATCCGTAATTTATGGGGTTTTTTTTTTCATTCATTATATACATAATCACCATATCATTGTGATATATTATCAGCTGGAGGTCAGGATGTGCTGTTTTGGAAGGAAGGTGTGCATGTTGTCTGAACATAGTCTTGTATTTCTGTATTTTGTGATATTGTAATACAAACAATCCTTCATATTTTGTTACATGTCAAGTGTTACGTTACATAAATGATTCAGTTACATATACATGTATGATACATACTGTATATATAAGACTAACCGTCCACTTCATTGAGAATACAGTTCTTATATTGGGCAGGATCCTCCTTTGCTCTCAGAACAGGATGATGCTGGGAATATTCCTCCAGATTCCAGCCCATATATAAGCCCCCAAAGCTGGGGTTACGAAACACTTTCATGACAGACATAGACATTGTTCTAATTCATGCACTGTATTTTCAGGAATTTTAATAGTTTCTGTGTGGACTGTGTGTGAAAAGGAAATCCTCAAAACTCAGGTTCAAATGATATCTTTAATATTATGTCCTTAGTTTAGCAAACTAGGCACCGCTTCATCTGTTATGAGAGCCAGCATTTGAAATATGGAAATATGCTAAATTTGTTTATTATGGTTTGTGATTAAATGGAAGATGTAGATTTGCAAATGATCAATGGATATTGGGCATCTTAAAAAGTGAAAATGTAAGTCAATGCCTTTTGGTAGGATAATGATTATTCACATGAGTGTTTTTTGTCCATATTGATTAAATACATGTTATCTGCCTAAATGCATATAGAAATTAGAAAATAAGGCTGTAGGATGATGTATGGAAGGTGGATGAATATATGGCTGGGGAATTGTACAGTATTCAGCAGGTCCTCACACCTCTCAGGCTGTTTGTTCAGTCCTGGTCCACTGCTATTTATTAAAGACATAATCAGACGTATTAAAAAAATACAGGATTCTGTATTCAGAAAATAGCAGTTATGAAATTTGAATGACAAACAGACAGAGCACATATATTTTTATTGACAGTGTAGTACTCCAATAGAAAAGGAAAACCAAGCAGCCACATACAACCCTAGCAGTCCTATTAATAAATGTTTTCTTCAGAACAGGTGATTTATTATGTGTAGTTATACAGTCATGTTCTTTATCAAATATCAACATATGAATATTTAGTCTTTCAAATTATATCTGTAGATATACAGCCATGGAAAAAATTTTGGCAGGGACCACAGCACAATTTTTTGTTTTACTCATTTCTGAATTTATGAGTGTGTGTCTGAATAATGTGTATTTTTTTTTTTGCAAACTGCAGCCTGGCTCCTCGCTGCTTCTCATTAATGAAGGGCTTCTTCCTTGCTTTATGGGACTTCAGTCTTGCTTCTAGGAGCCTGATACAACCTGTCCTAGCAGTGCACTTCACACCTGCACTTAATGTTTCCCATTCCTTTTGAAGGTCACTTGATGTCATCCTACGCTTTATGAGAAATTGGCGGATAAGTAAACTGGCAAGTCATCTCTGGCATTAGAAAGTCACTTCCCCCCTTTACCTGGCTGGTTTCTGGTTATTCCCAGTGTCTCCTGCTTCATCTTATTCTCGAGTTCTGCTGCCTTAGAAATTTTAAACCTGGAAGCAACCTGCTGCTCAGCATAGCCTTCTGCCAGCAAAACCCACAATTGAACCAGGATTAAAGAATGCAGATTTGTTTAGAAATATAGAGTAGTCTCTTAACTTTTTCCATGGCTGTAGGTGATGTAATTAAATGCAGAATTCCTTAAGCTGTATGATGTTTGAAGGGTGTCTTGCATGCTCAGCCTATTTCAAATCACCCCACAGTATCTCAATAGGATTCAGATCTGGACATTGACTTGACCATTCCAGAATTCTGTTTCTTTCTTCTAAGCCGTTCTTTGGTAGATTTACTGGAATGTTTTGGGTCATTGCCATGTTGCATGGCCCACCTCTGCTTCACCTTCAGCTTCTGGATAGATGGTCTCACATTGTCCTCGAGCACCCTCTGATACAATACACTTGCTATGAGGTTCTTTTGTTCAAAACTGTCTTTGCTTTATGCCAAACATGTCCTCTGTTACTCTGTCCAAATAATTCAATTTTAGAATCATCTCTACAAAACACTTTGTTCCAAAAGGCCTGGTCTTTGTCTGGGTTAGGGGTCAGCAACCTGCAGCTCTTTTACCACGTGGCTGCGGCTCTTCTCATAACGATAAATGAATTCACATTTTCATGTCTTAACATATTATGGTAATACTTTCATAAAGATAAATCATTTATTTATGGGGTAATATTTTTCATTTAGATATTTCTTTAGCTATATGTGAATGGGGCAGTCCTTCGCATGCTTCTGTTACGTCTTAACTGCATAATTTACATCTTCCTCAAAGTCATTCGCTAAAACGAGAGTACGTCTCTGGTTAAATGGTATGCTTTCCAGAGTTTTCTTAAGCACCTGGATGTACGCTTCAACGCTTATTGGGATTCCTAATTCTTTCATATACTTTTTGTAGTAATCGTCACCATACCTTCCCAGATCTTCATAAAAATTATTATATTTTCTCCAATTTACATATTATAGACAGCTGAGTTTGGAGTGGTGAGGACATTTTGCACTGCTCGGTCAGCAGAGTTACAGTAGTGAAGAGGAGAGGGAAGAGCAGATGACTACAGAGCCAAATGATAGGAGGGATGAGGGTGAAGACTATTGCTACAGAACTAATCAGTGTTGTACTGTTAGTCACCTTTGCGCTTTTACGCGTCCGAGTGATTTAAACCTGAGATCGCCCCCCCCCCCCACCAAAATAGTTTTTCTAAAATAATGTAAGTACTTGAACTTTTATTTTTGTGTTAAATGCATATATACACATGTCACATAAAAAAATCTCAATCCCCCTTCTTTACCCATTGTGGCTCTTTGTAAATCTTGGGTCAGGAGAAAATGGATTTTTGCTTTAAAAAGGTTGCCGACCTCTGGTGTAGGTGGTGTGTGGCAAACTTCAGTCTTGCACATATAGTGGTACCTCAGTTCTCGAACTCATTAGAACTCAAATTTCTTAAAAGTCGAACCAACCAGTTAGAAAAAAAAATACCTAAAACTCAATCTGAATCTCAGAAGTCAAACCGTGAACACCGACCGAAAATAAGTTGTATGCGCGGGGAAATGAGTCACGCAGCATGTCTCTCAGCGGAAACAAAGGGTAACGCTTCAGTCTCAGCCTCGCATTCGCTGTAATAGCATTGTTCATGTTAATATTGTCGTGCCCAGCAAGGACGGAACGGAGACAAAGGCGCAGACGTCAGAGTATCGGGGAATACGGGGTTTAATTACAGGTAAGGCAGGCAAAACGCAGATGGACAATACAATGACCGGACTGGGGAAACAAACTGAAACGCGGACTAAATACAGAGGACTGATGACAACAACCAGAAACAGCTGATCATACGGGGATTCCACACGGGGTTAACGAGGGGGCGTGGCACACAGAAGGAGCGGACGATTGGGGCAGGACACATAATTTTTTTAACTTTACATTCCAGTAAACATACAGCATACATTGTTTGGATACATTTATTTTCTTACTTTAAAAATTACTGTTTTGATAAATGTGCTTAGATGTTTTTAGTACAGTATATGCTTTTCTTGTTTTGTCCGGTTCATTTTGTGTTTAAATGCTAAAAAAAAAAAAACATATTTCGGTGTAATTTTTTGGGGGCGGGAACCAATTAATTGGTTTTCCATTATTTTTTATGGGGATAATTCAATCAGAACTCGAACTCTTTAGGATTCGATCTGAAGTTCTGAACGGATCAATTTCTAGTTCTGAGGTACCACTGTGTGTGTGTGTGTGTGTGTGTGTGTGTGTGTGTGTGTGTGTGTGTGTATACCGTATATATCCCAAGGGTTTCCTGCTTGTACACATCCCATGTAAATCAAACATGCTGTCTCTTTCTGATGGTAGATGCATGTATGTTGACATCAATTGTGGCAAGAGCTTCCTGTATGTTCCATGATGACTTTCTAGGATTTTTGGAGACTTTTTCTCAACATCTTGCGGTCTGCTCTTGGGCTGAAATTGCTAGGATGGCCTGACCTGGTCATGTTGGAAGTTGTTTTAAATGTTCTCCACCTGTAAATTATTTTCTGGACTGATTCCAAACTCTCTTGAGATCTTTTTATAATCCTTCCCAGACTCATATGCATCTACATTCTTCTTTCTGAAGGCCTCAGAGGGCTCTTTGGATCTCACCATGGTGATACCACTCACTTCAACAATCAAGAGCAAACCAAACTAAATAAATGATTCCACCAAAAAGTTCTATAACAATGTTCTAATCATTTTCACCTGATGTGATGCATCTGAATTTTAAATAGTAATGAATGTGGAAAAACATTCATAACCAAAGGTATGACATACCAAAAATTAAGTAATTGCTATATTTTACATACTGTCAAATAAAATACAAGTTTTACACACAGTTTGAAAATTCTTTTCAGCCACTTACTGCTGACAAGGCTGGATCTAAGACCAGATGATGCCCATTTGTCAGTTTTTTTTCTGAGTTGAGACTCGGCATATTATTAATAATACTTTAACAACATACCATGATCATCAAAAGGTTCTACATAACCCACAACAGAGTTACAACATTAACATGTATAGTTTTTATGCATTCAACTTCATAGCATTAAGCCATATGAGCAAAAATGTACTTGTAACTTGACTGGGAAATGCAAAATTTATGTTAATGCAATTTCTTAAAGTTGATGTTACTGCAAACTGTGTTCTCATTAGGGCATAGCTTGTCAGTTGTTGTTATTCCTAAATGTTTTTTCGGTCTGTAGAATTGAATGTCTGTGGAGAGATGTCTGGGTCAGTGTCACACAGATATATTACAAGGTTTTTCTCAGCCTTGAAGAAGACTCCCTTTTGGATGTATCATTACATTTCACCTCTTCTGTGAGCACTACGTTTTCATAAAAAGGCTGGAGAATGATCTGTAACATTCAGTGAAGGGTGGGACAGTCATTCCATGTGCACCGAAGGAACACAAATTCCAAACCACTTGTGGCCTTTGGGGTATATGCAGACCCCTTCCACTGAGGATGAAGAAAATGTGCAGGTGGTTGATTTTTTTTATTATTACTATTAAATTGACTGGAAATATGGACTCCATCTTATAATTTGATCAGAGTATTTTTTTGTCGATATTTTCTCCAAGAACCTGGACCTCTGTGAAACCCACTGGGAGTCATTTGACCATGTGAACAAGGAAAACCACGAATTTGAACTTCTAGAAATTGAATATCCTTTGACCCCAACGGTGATGGAAAGAATAAAAGCTGCCATCAATCTTACAGCACAGTCTGAATGTTTTGCACGAGACATTTATGTTGCAAGGGTTATGTAGTTACATTTCAATTTACATTTCAGTTTACTTTGAATTGTTTTATACAGTCGCTATAGCCATTAATTTACATCCCAGAATGGTAGTGCATACATTTTTAAGAAAAACTTTGTAAATTGAATCATTTACAACAACTTTGTAAAGCTATTAAAGAATGTAAGCTATTTGTAGTTGTAGGTAGTTGTGCCAGTCCATAATATTCTTTAAATCCTTTAAGGAAATATAATATTATTAATATTACTGGAAATATTGTTGTGCTGGTACATGCACTCAACTGGAAAGCAAACAGTATGGTCTACATCTCAGTCATGATTGAATTTAACAATTTTCTTAAACTCTTCCTTTTCTCATGGGAGAATAGGTTTGTGACTTTTCCCATAATCCACTGCATAACCCTGCCAACAGTGGTCTGTGCTTGGCTATCATCCACATTCTTGTCCTCTTCTTAAACACATAAAGAGAACAATGTGTGTTATATTCAAGGAAGGTTAGAATTCAGAAGAGTGTTTAGTTAAGAAAATAAAAGTATAATTATTCTGTCATCAGAATGGACTGGAACAAATAGAGGAAGGCAGATGTCAGGATACTTGTCCATGAGAACCAACAGATCATAAAGCTGGAGACCTTTTCTGAGCTGATCCAGCACAGGGAGAATATAGAACAATATCTCTGTACAGAGGATACAAACAAATGATGTGGTTTGGTATCTGCGATGGCTGGTCTGACAGCCACACTGAAGGGAAGTATCTTACCCATAGTCATTTGCCATTTTACATTTGAGTTTGTTTAGTTTGCATAATGCTAATCAAAACGCAACAATATTTGTCTATTAGTATTTCTTTATTCGATACATTTTAACCACTGTTTACTAGATGAAGCATGCACATTTAGTTAACTGTGGAACATTATGTTGCGCACCTTTTTAAGTTATTAATGGTTTCGTTTCTTTTCGAGTTTCCGTGTGGTGAGTGCTGGGGAATTTTCCTCACTGCTCCAGTCAAAAGAGGTGGCCAACCTGTGTTCCTCGTGCCTTCCATCTCAGTTCCTCACAGTAGTCAAAGTAACTTCTGCAAAATGTTTCTTCCATAAATACCTGATAATACAGTCCTTTTTCCAGAGACACAACACAAATTTATAATCAGTCAGGTCTGTTTTGCTTCATTGACATCATTAACATATAAAACAACAAAAATGAAAAGTATTTTGTTTATACCACAATCCTACTGTTTAGATGTAAACAAAGGTTGTGTGTACATTCATAAATGTGCATTAATGTCCCAAGTGGAACTTTTACCTTTGCAATAAGCAAAGACATCTCCATGTCTGAAACATCACTGGTAGAGACCTGTGAGTGGTCAGCATCTCCAGAGCACAGGTACTGAAAGCTCCACTGGCAAAGAAAGGAAGGTAGAGGCCCAGCTTGAGGCAAACTCATTGACATTATTTCTCCAGGAAACATGAAAATTGACAAAAAATGTTCTTTTCAAATGATGGTTCTAGGTCTTACATACCACAGAGCTGTTTGGGAATTCTGAATACATTTATAAAACTTACCTGAAGTAGTTGTTTTTTTCCCTTTTCCATCACCATTACAGACAAACAGCTTCCTTTCAATTTCTGAAAACATTTCTGGTACACATGGAAATTAAACTGGATAAATATATTTATGAATAAACCTACATAATTTCTAAATCTACCCCAGGATTAATGCTGGAAATGTAAGGTGTATTTATATCTTGTACCTCACCTGTTAAGTTTTATTTCCTTAAGGTGCCAGTATCAACACCTGCTTCTCCCAAAAAGTCACTCTCAGTTGACTTTTTGGGGAAGCTTCCTTTTGCTGTTGCCATTGCTACATGCCTCGTTGGAAGATGTCATGCTGATACACACACAAAAAACCTGTGCAGATCTGTTCTCTAGGTTTCATGTAATGGCCAAATACACAACAGTTTATATACATATATATATATACATACATACATTTTCACGTCTTTTCACAACCATGACACATACTTTTTTTAAAAAAAGTTAAAATGTACTCTGTACCCAAATGTATTCTAGTGTCTGCATGACATCACAATTTGTCATTCACTATACCAAATGTGACGTAATTCCAAAGAGATTACTTACAGACTTACAAAAATTACAAGACAATTAAAATAGATTAAAGTGTAATCTGTAGAAAGTTTACCCAAATAATACTTTCTAGAAATTACCAGAGTGAGAATTACAAATCATAGTTTTGTGAAATATCTTACACTGTCAGTTGTGTCTCCATCAGACAGGCATACCACCTCTTCAGGGGTTTCTACTTCAGAGACATCCTACCATATTATATTAGAACAGTAGAATTAGTAGATTAACAATTCAATACCACTTCTGAATAAGATTAAATTTGATAAATATTTCAAGTTATACCTTTCCTACCTTTATTTTGATAATCCAAAACAAAAATTCGACTGGACTCCTGGGTTCTGCCAGTTTAGTGATGCATTAAAATTGAATAAATATTAACATCTCCGATATTGTGTCATTTGAAACAAAGGAATGCAGAAGGCAATAGTACGCAGATCAGATAGCTCAGATAGGAGACAGAAGATGCAGTGTGAGGTAGACCGGAGACAAAATGTGCCATCTAAGTATGTGCCAAATTTTTAGGAGCCAAATGCATTTTAGGGGCCGTAATCTTCATAATATGCCAAATGTGAAATAAATACTGTCAGGGTCAGCCTCTGCTGTGGTCCTTCTGTGTCCCTTCCCCGTTTGGCCAGCAGGCGTTTGCTGGTCATCCTGTTCTTTATGTTAGTCTTTGTTCTCCTCTGTTACCTGCCTGGTCATGTGGCTCAATGTGTTGAGCATGTGGTTGTTTGTGTATCCTTCTGTCCTGAGTTTGAATCCTGCCGCCTCTGTTTTTGTATTTTTGATCCATAGTGTTTCATTTGAGTTTCTCTAGTTCTTGTGTTTGATTTTGTAGTTGGGTTTTGTTTTGTTCCTTGCGGCCCTGCTTGTCTTTACCTGTCTGTAATTCCCCAGTGCTGGTTTCTTATTCCTTGGTTAGTTCTTAGTTTCCCTGTTTTTAGTTATTATATAATAATATTCACTTTTACTGTCTATCATTGTCTAAATGTATTTTTACTGTCTAAATATATGTATTCAGCTAGTGTAAACATGCACAATGCTATCACAGGGAATGCGAGGCTGAGACTGAGGCGTTACCCTTTGTTTCCGCTGAGAGACACAAGTTACAAGTTATCTTCGTGTACAAGTTATCTTAGGTCGGCGTTCACGGTTTGACTTCTGAGATTCAGATCTAGCTCTAGGTATTTTTTTCTAACTGGATGGTTCGACTTTTAAGAAATTTGACTACCACTGTACCACTGTATATAACATGAGCACGTGAAACCGCGCGCACGAGCACCCGCTGGCCGTGAGCGCGCGCGGAAAAGCATACAGGCCATGTTATGCATTATAAATACATCCTTAAAATGGCAAGTATTTTATTTGTAGCGCTATTCCCTAAGGAATAACGTCTCTATAGAGCTACCCACGTATCTTCAGCAGGTTTTACGAAATCTTTAAATGTATTCAGATTTCGATTCAGAAAAAGCTGACAACCACATTTTATTTGCTACGGCTGAAAGAAACGTAAATGTGATACATCTAGACATATACCAAAGCCAGAAAACATCAGTAAATAATCCGTTTTGCTTTGACACTCAAACTTATTTGTTTTCAAAGTAAAACTTATACTGTAGAATATTATCTGCAACAAGAGCAATCATCATGGTTCTTTTTCTGCTTTCTGCACATAAGAAATCTTCCGCGCGCCAACCTGCGAGTAACATTTAACAGAATATGCTCAGAACAAAGCACTTACAAAACATCAAGCAAGTCCTATGTATCCATTAAGTAAATAATACATGTCATATACATATACAGTATAAGTTATTATTATCTGCAGATGCCAGGTGCCCTTAAATCATGGGAGGCACTGTGATTTTCCGAGGAAATACTGAGGCGTATTCCTGCACTGAACAGGAAGCTGCATCACAAATCCGGGGAGTCCACGGCTCTGCTCAGCCTTCGTAGTTGGTAAGTTTTATCTGTTATATGACAAAATAAAACAAGTATAATAAGGCGATTTGGCCGAGTGGCAGAGAAAAGCGAAGATCGGTTTTGAACATGCAGTGATTAGAAGTGAAAACGCCGGCTGGGTGGAAGGAGCCGCGCCTGGGAAGGGAGGCCCGCAGGAGAGTCTGCCTGTGCCGGGGATGCTGGCCGGATGGGATGCAATAAGAAATACGGACATTGTAGCCTGTTATATACTTACTCGCCTGAGAAACAGCAATGCACGCATAAGTGATTTCTAAAAAAAGACCTGCAATATCTGTAATCACAAGCAATAGTCGCTGCTGTGTTCGTGCGGTAGGAAGCTACAAATATCAAACAAACTGCAACAACAACAACAGTAGTAGTAATAGTAATCCTCCTCATCATAACAATAATGATAATCATCATCATCATCATCATCATCATCATTATAATGGTGACGACGACTCCATGGGTGTACTGTCAGCTCGGATTGCCTGTGTTTAGGGGCAGTTTGAGGTTCGGTCAGTAAACGATATAAACCTAGAAATATAATAAATAGACATGGGGATGGTGAAACCCAAAGCAAGGCAGCGCTAGGTTGCCTTCTTTCCCGCGTGTAGGCGTGTGTTCGGTTGGTTTTACATGCATTTATTGCTGCAGTTATAGCTGAATCGTCGCTATTGAAATTCCCGAAGAGTAATAGAGATCGGAGAGTTGGCCATGTGGGAACGTAGCTAGCAGGCTAAAAGCACGTCATTTTGATACTCGATTTGGGGATAAATGGGCGTTCAAACCACGAATATGCACAAAAGAAACCGCCAGGGAAAGCTTTCATTCTGTAACACTTAATTCCTAACCCCAACCCCCACGTATTGAAAGGTAAGCTCGCTCACTAACCATTGCTAGAGGAAGGAATCCGTTTCAGTGCCTTCAGCCGGTATCCACAGTCCCAATAGGGGGCGCTGATAAAACTGCAGACCGATTGATGGTTTATTAATTAATGCTCTAATTATTGTACGTTAGATGATCAAGTCTTAGCTGAAAAATTGCAGTACCTCGTTAAAAAAAAAACAGTATGTTATCGACTTATAAAGAAAAAGATATATTCCTTTGGTAAGCCATTCAGTATAATAATAATATATGGATACATTCTGATTATGCTTTATCTAGGTATTGCAATCTATTTAGAATTCTTAGTAGTGATAATTTTCTGTTGCTGACTGACTGTAAAGTTTACAATGAAATTTACTTTTGCGAACATTGTTTGTATAAGCAGTATTGTTTATATGGAACACTGGTGATATAATTTCTTGTCTTAAGTGTTTTTGATAGTTTAATAATTACTGCTCATATTTGTAACCCTGACAAAAATATAACAGCATACCACAAGTTATTTTTATTTAATTCCTGTCTAGTTGTAATTTTGTTCATTATTTTCCCGTTTTCCATTTGGATGCGTTCAGACTATAACCTAGGCAATTGAATGATGTGAGCAAAGGCTTTCTCCAATCGTACAGTAGATGAGGAAGCAGTAGTGTCTTTTCTCTTAAGTTCAAATTTGATTTGGTCGTGAGAATGCTCATTTGGATGTTGATCAGGTCTTTATTGAAAGGGAGCAAGCCTTTTAGTGTTTGAGTACTAGGACGATGGTTCCTTTGAAAGAGAGGCCAGCTCTGCAGGGCCTACCGAGTTTCATTGTGCAGAATAGACAGAGCTTGTGAAGTAAACCTTGTGAATCACTTAGTAGGTGTGACGCACTAGTGTGTTTTATAGTGCCAGAGAGAAGTGATTTCAGCCCTGACCACCTCTGAATGCTAAACAGCTACCTAAATGTGCTGTCTGCACACAAACTCTACAAGTCTTTTCTGTTTTTGCGAGGTAAAAAATTATTTTAGCTTCTGTACTCCACAAACAGTCAAAATATTCTTCTGATTAATAAGGTTAATCAATTAAATCACTCAATATAATGGACAATATCTTGGTCCTTTATCGTTACCCTAAAGAAGAATCTTTTATTTCAGTTTCCAATATTTCTGTGCAAATTCTTGCAAAGAAATTATTTTAAATACTTTCAGCTAATTGGAAAATTCACAATAAAAAACAAGGTCAGTATTGACTAATAATGTGGGAGACGGAGCACACGTGTAGTTGGGGACTGACGTTGCACTGAGACTGGAAGCTGATTTTAGCTTCATCAGTCACAGTTCTCTGGGCTGCCACAAACTGCCGCGGCACTTCTCTCAGAACTGAAGTAAAAGCTGTCACTAAGCAGTTATTTTTCAGCTTCTTTGGATTGAAAAAAAAATGCATGGTTATTTCAGTCTTTGTTTATATAGGGCTTGTGGCTTTTAAATGCCTTTGCCCGATAAGATTTAATGTACAGCTGATCCTGTCATGCTGTCCTGTAATGTTTAATTTTATAGCCTTTATTGCTGTGTTACGTAGAAGTTAATAATATTGTCATATTTTATGCACTCAGCAGCGTGTCTAAAACCAAAACCAAAAACCGCTTATATTAAATTGTGTTTTGCCTGTAAACAAGGAGCAGTTATTTGTCGTATCTTCACAGGTGAGGTGGGGTAACGTGGGGTGAGGTGAGGTGATGTGGGGTGAGGTGAGGTGATGTGGGGTGAGGTGATGTGGGGTGAGGTATCACACTAACCTTTCATCTGACCTGCTGTCCTTCTAACGACGGTCGTTGCTGCAGCGATGTCCCCATTCCTGTCCGTCGCTGCTGACCGCAATAATCAGTTTTTTGTTGCACTGTCATCCTCTCGTTTACACCCCCCCCCCCCCGTTTTGGCTGGTGGATTGCGGTTCTCTTGGTGGTAGCTTACGAGCCCCTCTGACCGTGATGATGTCCGCTAAGGCTCACTGCCTTGTTCCTTCCTGTGGTGACTCCGTCTGTGTGGTCCTGATGCCAACCCTCAGTCCGCCCGCCCCCCCCCCCCCGCCCGAAGCTCCCTGCTGTGTAGTTTCCTTTGCAGACCAGTGTGGTGCTGAGGTGCAGGCGCTCAGAGAGAGGTGTCTGCTGCAGACACCTGCCTCCCCCACCAGATTCAATGAAATGGTATGTTCCAAAAAAACAGCAAAATGTGTCTCCGTTCAGCTATGTCGCATAAATACCAGCTCTGAATGACTCTTTTAACACCTTATTTTAAACAGACATTTTTGTCTCCCTCGTGCTGACAGCAGTAACCAGTGTAAACAAGATGATTCTTGTGTAAAACAGGGATAAACCTTTTAAACATAAGTGTAATGCATGTTCAGTGTATTAAGCTTGTACGATAAGTATGATATGGCATTTATGAATCAGCATTATGACCCTCGCATAAACGTCATTATATTTGTCATGGATGCTAATGGTAGTTTTCACGCCAGGTGCAGAACCTGCTTATGTGTGCAAATGAATTTTGGCATGGTTTCAGCCTTAGATTATTTTTTTTGTGAATTAAAAATATGTGTAAATGCAAAAAAGGAAGCAGTGAAAATCAGGTATGTGGTTAACAGATACTTAAAATGGTTTCCATTTTTAAGACCAAGACACACTTTGAAGGGCTTGAAGGCCAGTATATATATAGTGTGTTAACTACACTGGCAGTGATTTTTCCAGATTGTGGAATGGCTTCCATTTATTATTTACTGCCAACTGTCAGGGGTTGTCCAGTACATTTTCTTCTGAATGCTGTCCCATCTTGGCTTTTTCCTCTGCGACATATTCCACCTGAAAACCAACAAAGACACCTAACTTTTTCCGCAGGACAGGAGGCTAATCCTCTTTCAAACCCAGCCCTTCTTACGGTATACAGTATGTATTGTTGTTAGTGTAATTTAGCTCAGGACTTGGCTTGTTCTTTCAATATCAGCGCCATATCAAACGAAAATGGTGAACCTTCCATCAGTAAAAAAAAAAACAAAAACAAAACATTTAAACAGGGGGAATATGTTTTGATTTAAAACACTTAAAACAGAAGTAGCTTTTCCAGTGCTTAATTTGTAAACTTTGAGGTGCCGGAGCTCAAGAAGAGCACAGAGACCCACTGCGACCACAGTTATATGAGGTGGCAGAGCACACTGGCTTTGATTGATGTCTGACACACGGCGACAATGTGCTCTTTATTACTTAAACACATAACAGTGTGATATTTTCTATCAACTTGTTGGTTACATCAGACTGTAAAAAAGACTTACTCTGTTAAATGAATCGGATGGTCGAGAAGGTATAACCTTATCTATTTTAGTAGCCGAAAAGTGAATATTGGGCAGTTTTTCTCTTTCAACTGAAAAGTCAGTTGATCGCAGGCTCCTCTGACCCAGACGTCCCGCAGCTGAGCTCCGACTCGAAGCACTGGCTTTATTCAAGGCCAGGCAGGACTTCTGATTCTGTCTGCTGCTCTAGTGTGGGTGCTCTTCTCTCTGGCTATTGTCATAGCCATTGAAGAGCCTGAAGGAATAGGAAACCTACATTAATGCAGCTGTAGAGAACTGTCACGCGGTATTTTTAACAAATGATTCTGGTATCTGGACCAGCTTCAGGGTCATGGTGCCTAGTAACCATTTTGACTATTTCTGAGTAGCCTCTGTTAGCCAGTATGTGGGGTAGAATCGCGCACAGCTGTGGTAGATCTTCAGTGGCGGTCAGCAGAGACTGCAGAGGTCGTCTCCGGGTATTGGGCGATTAAGCAGCATTGGCCTCTTTCTCAGTCATCCACATGCCTGTGTTTGTCCAGGGTGGTTGTTTATCTTTCCCAGCAGCACTGGGCAGCTGTTATGTAGGAATATCATCAATAATGCTGTGCTCATGCCGTCAGGTAGGGCCGCACAGACCCTGCTAACTCTCGCCTGCTTGTGCCATGTGCTTTATGCTAAATGTGGGCCAGGCCATTGTCTCTTCAGCTCAGGACACACAGAAACCTGAGAACTGTCTCTTAGGTCACACACCAGCACGGTGCAAGGGTGAAATGTGCCTGTTATTTTTCTATAAGTCTGCATGCTTGGACGGATCGATGCATAAATAGTAACCCTTGGAATCAAGATTTCAGAGGTTTGGGGTGTCAGTACAGGCACAAAGCCTGCAATGCATTGTCTGGTGAATCAGGCTGAATATCTGAATTGCATTGGACTGGCTGTTAAATAGGTGAGCAGTAGGACCCAGAGGAGTGCTGTCCTGCAGCCCCAGCCGCCTGCCTCTCAGCCTTTCTGCAGCAGGCAGTGCCGGCAGTAGCGCAGAAGCCGCCCCTCAGCAGATGCTGCAGCGTTAGCTCCCGCATTCTCCACCACCTTAGCCGCCTCTGATTTGAGCTGCACATTAGAAGGAAGCCATTTTCCCGGCACCGGCCTTGGAAGCCCCCTGTCCATCTCATGCCGGGGCGGGGGGTGCGCCACCCGCGGTAAACAGGGGCAGGCAAGTTGGCGAGCCCGAAATGCTGGAGTGAGGATTGTACCACTCGCGGCGTGATTGGGAATCACACAGACGGCATCGCCGAATCCTCCCCCCCCTGCCCCTCCGACGAACTGTCATCCCACCCCCACCTCTCCCAATCTCTGCTTTATAAGAAGGAGGAAGTAAAGGAAGGCCATCGTGGAGTGTGGAGTCTTAGTAAGAACACGGGGCAGCATGTCACAGACCAAGAGGCACACGTACAGCCGGGTGAGTCGCCTGAATGATTTAAAGAGATATCAGCTTCAGAGTCTCTGGGTATTCTCGGGTACTAAATGAGGGGCACTAGTGTCAGATTTTGTGTTGGACCGCAATAGTTTGTCTTTACAAACTACGCTGGGTTGGGCATTTTGGGTATCGATGGCCTCAGATGATAATGGTGACCGGCACGCAAACAGGGCTGCGTGGAGATGCGTCATTATACTGCCGGCTCTGTCTGCGTGTATCACTCTGATGTCACGCAGCTGAACTTGGGCCACGCTGTGAGGATGTGAGGGCATGGCGTGTAGTCTGTGAGCTTTGTGATGTCACTCTGTAGTGCCCTGTCCTGAGCTGAAAGGTGGCCGATTTGGAGAATATCTTTGGAAGGTGGGATTTGTTTCCGATAGAATCTGTTGCAATGTTTCGGGCTGGAGCGTCAGCATTCAGGCTGCGATGTCAAAGCCAGGCTTGATGAAGCTCTTGAGGCTTTTGGCTGCTGGGACAGCTTGTCCTGCTGGTTGTTATGGATCCACAGAGAAGGCGGTCCTGCTGATTGGAGCACAGGCTCATCATGTCTGTATGGCGTTATAATCCGCAAACCCTCCTTTGCTCATGCTTCATGTGCCGGACGACGGGCAGAGAGGATATGAGTGAAATGCTGACATTGGCACCTTCTTCAAGAAGCTCTGTTTCAGTCAGCTTCACTGTTCATTCTCTCTGGCTCTTCTACCTGGCCCAGTATTTATCCATGTATCCCACAGAAATGCAAAATACTTGTTGAGTTTAAATTTAGCCAATTCAAATTTATGTATAACTAATACATAGTTATAATGTTGGGTCTCTGTCTATTTACTTGGTGCGTTATCTCCACATCTTTGTCTCTTTTTGCCCGCTGATGCCATTGTTACTATATTTCTTTTGAAGCCATATGGAGAATAGAGTTTCCACATTGAACAATGGACTGTATTATTCAGATTCTATTATCAAAACTAAAAGCGTTAATGAGAGGTCCCCCTCAGCTCTTTACTGTTTCTGTTCTTAGCTTTCCATTAATTAATAGAGCTCAGAAAAAGTTAAGTCCAGAGGACTGTATTACACTGCTAAATACTAACATTGATCCACACATTGGTGATTATATTGCTTTTAGCAATTCGGAGTTTCCCTACAATGCGTACATGGAAGACTTCTGTGGCAGTATCATTGATGAATGCCATATTAGTGTTACACTTGGGATTTGAGCTCTCATTTACCATCTTCACCCAGCTTTTTACACCATGGTTTAGTGTACAGTAAAATCTGATATATGGGCTTTTCCCTTTCATGTGATGAAATTCACTGTGGCCCTGTTTGCACTTGGTTTTAAGATGCATCTTGGGAGATTGGATCACTGGTGAACAGCCGAGACACATCACTGTTTACAGCTGTGTCTGTCACGCGTCTACAAGGTGTCCAGCACCACTGTTCAAATTCTGTTACCGCTCTGTGCACAATTATTGTGATGTCCTTGTCAGGGATGCATCAACAAATACTGGCGTTTACACTACAAACATATTTGATCAATTACGTCGTAGACCACTTCAGCAAGTGGTTTTAGTCATTATATCACACAGCCTTATGATGGTGGTTTACCCTCACATGGTGGTATTTAGCGCCATCGACTTGTGATCCAGTCGCCCAAGATGCATTTTGCAACCAAGTTTTCCTATGTTACTTTTATTTGATGACAAGTTACACTTCCCATAATTTGATGGCAAGCTCAGTCATGGCGATTGGACCTTATGCTTCATTATTCCCACTGAGTCATCTGTGCACAATAAGAAAGTTTTTGGAGAGGAGTTAGACAGCTAGATGTGAAAACTCTGTGCTTGTTGTTCTGGAAAGCACACTGCAAAACATTTGTGAAAAATAATGAAATAATGGCAACCGACTAATTTGGGTGTGTAACCATATGGCTAATGGTTTGCAGCGTTTTAGAGTATCATGTGACTTGGGTCTAGCTAGTTTGTCAAGCTTAAGCAGAGGACACAAGTAAGTACAAGTGAAACGTTTGGCATTCCACAAAAATTGTAACCGTTTCATCTCTCTTAATTTGAGAAGTATGCTGAAAATACTGGTTTGGTTAGTTTTGCTTGTTGGTATGACGTCAAAAATAGCACTTTATAACACCATGTTTTTTCATGATTATTGTTTTGCATGTCTGCATGAAAAGGTTCTCTCTTAACCTAATACATAAAAGTCTATATATTTGTTGGCAGTTCTTCAGAATCTGCAC